ACACACACACACACACACACACACACACACACACACACACACACACACACACACACACACACATTCAAAAATAAACTCGTGACGCCACACCCGCCTTGTCCGTGACACCAGCTCCTTCTGCCTCATTAAGGAAATGGCTCTTCTTCGCTGATTATTTTATTTGACGCCGTGATTACCACCCTGTGCTGCGCATCATGGTGCTGCGGACATCAGGCGGAGGGCAGCGGGCCTAATTGGGCCATGAGATGCAGGGAGGGATGCAGCCAGGCTGGGAGGCCGAACAGGAAAGCCTCTTATGGGCTTTTATTTATTTATTTTTCATTTTTATTTATTTATTTATTTAATTATTTTTCTCTCGGGTTTGTTATTTGTCTGCTTTCTTATTCATGTGACTATCAAATCACCTACAAAAAAAAAAAAAAAAACAGTATGGTTGGCTCCACGGCAGTTTCTGCAGATGGAAAAATCGATTTTCCTTTTAGATTTGTAGAACTGGCTGAACGCAGCTACCTGTGAGGCGGTGCAATCGGCCTGAGCATAAAAAAGAAAGAATAAGCTCACCTCCTGACGCGCGTGTTGCAATTTGATTGTAAAGAATCTCAGCAACTGTTTTTTTTCTCCTATTTGGGGTGGGGGTGGGGGGTGAAATCTGTTTCTTCAAAGGCCCATATGAGCAATAGATTTAACGCAGTTTGATTGCTAAAAAACCGCGGAGAGGAAAGACACGGAATTCTTGATCTTTGAAATTACTCGACAAATATTGTCTCTTTTTTTTCTTTCTTTTTTTGGTGCGCTTCCATTAAAAAGTGTCTCGTGGCGTGTAAACAGCCGTTCCGCACTCAGATGCGCCGCATTAACCCGGGAGGATCCGTGTTTTTATTCTGGGGAAGATTGATGTGGTCCAGTTAGAGGGACTGAGTGAGACATAGACCGGTTTCASTATTTTTTTTACTCTTATTACAGTAATAAACTAAGGCTCGGACAGCAGAGGGATGTTCTCTGGGAGTTTTTAAAAAAGCACAAAACTAAAAAATATATCAATCATGAAGTTTCTAATCACCAAAACAAAAAAAAAGAACTTTTCTAATAACTTGTCCTTGATAATTTGTGTTTATTA